GAGAGAGACTGCAGGTGAGAACTGGCCTCCTGCGGGGTCTTACTTCTCCCGCAGCTGTTTCTTCCTCTCTCCAGGTGCTGCAGGACCCGTGACAACTGCTACGCTCAGGCAAAGAAGCTGGACAGCCGCAAACTCCTCGTAGACAACCCCTACACCACCTCCTACTCATACCCGTGCTCCGAGAGTGAGATCACCTGCAGTGGTAGGTTACCCTCCAGGACCTCTGGATTCTGCTTGTTCCCTGGCGGGTTTGGAAGAGGCAGGGAAGTAACAAGGGTAGTAAATTCTTAATGGTCATTTCCTCGGTTCCATTTGTTCTCTCAGTAGCCTTATCCGGTAGATACAAAATATAGATGAGGCCGCTGATGAAGAAGATGAAGAAGGCTGGGCAACTTACTCAATGTCATCCCACTTAGAAGTGATGGCATCTTGTTCTCAAGCACAGAACTACATCAATTACAATGCCTTTTTTAAAAAAAATTAAAGATTTTAATATTTGTGGGGGAGTTATGCCTATGGGACACCACACCTGTGGAGCTCTGAGGACAACGTTCAGAAGTCTGTACTCTCCTTCAACCGTGTGAGACCTAGGAATGGAGTTCAGATTTAGACTTGGCAACAAGAGTCTTTATTCCGAGCTACCTTGCCTGCCCAAAGCCTCTGTCTCCTATTAACAACTATGTTTACAAATTCAGTATTTGCTGAATTCTTATAAGCTACATCATTAGGTATAAGTCAAATACTGAACTAAACACCAATGCAGGACAAGATTTATTATTCTCATTTTATAGGTGAGGGTTCAGAGGACTGGAAATGTAGCTCAGCTGCTGGAGTGCTTGCCTACCATGCACAGAGCCCTGGGTTCCACCTCCAGAACCCATAAATTGAATGTGCTGGTGCACACCTGCAATCCCAGGACATTGGAGGTGAGGCAGAAGAATTGTCTTAAATCATATAATTTTAAAAGTGGATGTTGATATTTGTTGATTTCCCGGTTTTAGGATTAAACATATGTGCTTATTTTTATATTTAGGAATGAGCTGTCATACCCTCTCTTCTTCAAGCACTCTCTACCATGTCTTTAGAGGCTGGGGCTCTCCTTAAACAGGACACTCACCTTTAACTAGCCTGACTGACCAACAAGTTTTAGGGATCTGTGCTCCCCACTTCCCATAGAGTTACAGATGCCCCAAATACATCTTGCCTTTTACATAGGCCCTGGGCATCCTAGTTGAGGCCCTCATGCTTGTATGCCAACTGCTTTACCAACTGTGTGCCCTCTGCCCAGTCCCCAACTAGTCATTTTTTATAAGTGTGTTCCAGCAATTTGGGCAACCCAATGTCCTTTTGTGGACTTGTCTCTCAACCCCGAGGCTGCACCAATGGGAGGACCACCGGTTTCTTTTGGTTACAGATCTTAGGGAACAGGGTCATGGGCTCCACTCAACATCCTTTCTCGTTTCTCTGTAGATGAAAATAACCCCTGTGAGGCCTACATCTGCGACTGTGATTGCCAGGCCGCCATCTGCTTCTCCAACACTCCATACACAAAGTATTACAGTGGCATTTCCTGTTAGACTTGTCACCTCAGTTACAGGTAGTTACACCATCCCTGTCTGCCTGGTTGTGTCCTCTAATAAAGCACCATCGAATATTGCAGAGCTAGGCTTTGGTGATTGTATTCTCTGTCTACCAAACATAACTAGCTGTAGCATGATGGCCTGTTTGTTGGGGTTTCCGCCCTGCCCAGTTCCCACAGTCAGCAAGTACCAAAGAAAATCACACAGAGGTCTCCCTAAGATTATAAACTGATTGGCCCATTAGCTCAGGCTTCTTATTAGCTCTTGTAGCTTATATTAACCCATTATTCTTATCTATGTTAGCCACATGGCTCAGTACCTTTTATAGCAGGGCAAGTCACATCCTGCTTCTTTGGTGATCTGGGCAGGACTGGGAGGAATGGGCTTCCTTCTTCCTAGAATTCTCCTGTTCTCATCTCCCCGCCTCTACTTCCTGTCTGGTTGACCCGCCTCTACTTCCTGCCTGGCCAATCAGAGTTTATTCAAAACATGACTGACAGAATACAGACAATTATCCCGCACCACTTACCCCTCTTTTAAAAAAAAATAAAGGAAAATATCCATAGTCCATTTTTTGGGAATGTGGACATAGGCTACTTCCAGCTGGTTGGGGGTGCTGATAATCTTATGGGGACCTAAAGAAAATTTAGAGTTATGATCAAGTCCTGACTGGAGTATCCTGTGAGGCTTAATCATCTCAGGCAGCATCTTGAATCTGTTCTGGATGTAGAACTCAGACATCTGGGCCATCTGTTCCTACTAGATATTTCTTAGGTGGTCTTCCTTGATCAAACCTGATTTTTCTTAACTTAGAATGAATCCACAGTCTCTCATTTCCTGTGGAAACAAAAGCAAAATCTCTTTTCCAAATTAACATACCTTTTGACTTCAATCTGAAGTCAAGGTATTTTCAAAATACCTATCTTGGGTTAATTCAGCAGCATTTATGAACAAATATCTTTTGGCAGCTGTTGCTCCTTCCTCGGCATTCAAACAATTCAAAGAGAGCATAATAACACACAGTATCCAGATTCTTTGTGTGTTTTCCATCTTTATGTGGCTTTATTTTAAACTCTATTTCTTTTATTTTTAATTTTTGACATTTTGAGACAGGGTTTCTGTGTATCTTTGTCCTGAAAATCACTCTGTAGACCAGGCTGTCCTTGAACTCACAGAGCTCTGCCTGTCTCTGCCAGTGCTGGGATTAAAGGTGTGTGCTACCACACCTTGAACTCACAGAGGTCTGTCTACCCCTGCCTTCCAAGTGTTGGGATTAAAGGTGTGTACCACCACACCCAACTACTCTTTTTTTTATTTTAAAGACTTTGGCCTTTTTTTTCCAAGCCTGTATATATTTTTAACACACTGTAAACCATTTAGAGGTTTTCTTCATCTTTGAATCTCTCTATACTGTATATCTCTCTTTTTCTGACTACACGAGTCTTTAATTTACCAAGCAATATGGGTAGAATTAAAGCTGTGACTTTGACTGCTGGATCCAGCCCATTCCTTAGCTTTCTGTGGTTCCAGTCTCATGGCAGAGGTACCGGCCAGAGCCATGTTTATTGCCACAACTCTATGGAGTTTCAAGGTCCCTGCCAGCAAGCAAGCTGCAGCAGTGTGCTCACAAACCACATTCAAATGCTCCGTAGTCAGACCGCCTGCCTGAAATAGTCAGAGTTTGACCTGGCAGGAAGGCCCAGAAAGCTGGCATTTAAAACACAGCAGCTTCTTTCCTGCATGTGGTCAGCTTTTCATCAACAGTGTGTAAGTGTTTCATGGCAGGACCTCTTAAAAGAGCTACAAGGTTTTGCAGCTAAAGCTGAGTCAGGAAGCTGTTGGGCCCTAAAACCCCACCAAGGAGGAGGTCTCCCCAAGAGACACTCTCACTGTGGTTGATGCAATAGCAAGAAGAATTTTTATTTTGCTGCTGTGGCAGAGTTCCCTCAGCCTCAAGAGGAGAAGGACCCCCACTTTGTCTATTACAGGCTCTTTTAAAGGAGAAAACCACAGAATCAAGGGGAGTAGTACATAATCAAAAGGGAGAGTCCAGAAATCATTTGTCAACTATCTTGACTAGTTCATTTAATGGTCAGTTAACTCTAATTGATCAATGCTATGGTAGTTGCTGGGTTGGTTAAACAAGAAGGAACACTTGCAGGTCATCTGCAGGTCGTCTCACCCCAGTTCCAGGGTCTGGGTCTATAGAAGAAAGACTGCAAAGGGGATGGAAAGTTCTCAAAGCTCCAGTGCACACATGGATGGTTACCATGGTCCTGGTTCCCAGGAAGCAGGGTACAGTAATGCTGAGGTGCCCCAAAGTCTTTCAGAATCCTCTCTTAAATGAGAGCACTTGCTTGCCTCTAGCAAGCAGAGCAGACCCGAGAAATTGCTGCTACCAAGAAAACATGCTTTACTCAATTCTTTCCCAAGCTTTCTCAGGCTTTCTGTGGATGCAGTTATCCATGTGGGCACCATTCAGTAACATGAGGGCCTGATTTTCACCCTGGCCAGCCAGCTTGCTTAGCCCCGAAATAATCACATGGAAATTGTATTCATTAAAACACTGTTTGGCCCACTATTCCAGTATATGTTAGTCACCATTCTGTAGCATGATGGCCTGTTTGTTGGGGTTTCCGTCCTGCCCAGTTCCCACAGCAGGCAAGTCCCAAAGAAAATCACACAGAGGTCTCCATAAGATTATAAACTGATTGGCCCATTAGTGCAGGCTTCTTATTAGTTCTTGTAGCTTATATTAACCCATTATTCTTATCTATGTTAGCCACATGGCTCAGTACCATTTTCAGCCGGGCAGGTCACATCCTGCTTCTTTGGTGATCTGGGCAGGACTGGGAGGAATGGGCTTCCTTCTTCCTAGAATTCTCCTGTTCTTATCACCCTGCCTCTACTTCCTGTATGGTTGACCTGCCTCTACTTCCTGCCTGGCCAATCAGAGTTTATTTAAAACATGATTGACAGAATACAGACAATTATCCTGCACCAACTAGCTCTGCAGAAAACATCATCCTGTCTAGTCCTGGACTCTGAGGATTAACGGGAAAGACATTGCCATTAGGGAAGCACCTTGAAGAGTTGGGCATGAGTCCAGCCATGCCTTCCATCCCAGCACTTGGGATGCAGAGACAGAGGCAGGCATATCTCTTGAGTTCAAGGTTAACCTTGTCTAAAATGAGTTCCAGGATGACCAGGGCTATTATACAAAGAAACCCTCTCTGGAAAAATGGGGGGAAAGAAGAGGAGAAGGAGAGGAGGAGGAGGTGAGGCAGAAATGGAATGGGGAGTGAACAGATGAGGCAGGAAAAAGGACAGGAATGGAGGGGAGGGGTAGGAAGAGAAGAAAAGAGAAGACAAATGGGTAGAGGGGAGAGAAGGGTTGAAAAAACCAGTGTCACGTGAGCACTAAAGGAATATCTTGTCCCTAAAAGTACTGGACTCAAAGCATTCCCGCTGTGTACTCGTCTTAAAGTGTGGGATATAGGAAACCAAACTGGAGTGACAGTAAATGACCTAAAGGCAGGATTACATCCCCACGTCCTTCCAGTCTTCTGCTAAAGTGCATGGCAGCCTAAATTTTTGTAACCAACAAAACAAAAAACGTCATCTTCTCTGCCTTTCTCTAACATGGGACCCAGCAGGTGAAGCCAGGTTAATCCCTGGTTCCCCGGTAAACATACGTAGGAATAAAATGTCTCATTGCAGGGGCTAGAGAGATAGCTCAGTGGTTAAGAGCCTTGCCTGCTCTTCCTAAGGTCCTGAGTTCAATTCTCAGCAACCACATGGTGGCTCACAACCATCTGTAATGAGGTCTGGTGCCCTCTTCTGGCCTTCAGGCATACACACAGACAGAATATTGTATACATAATAAATAAATAATTTTTAAAAAAAAGTCTCATTGCTTAAAGGCTACATGATTCTCATTCTCTCTTTCCCTTTATTGAGCAGGTGCCCAGTCCTCTGCCTTTCTACCCACAGCCCTATCCCCACTCCTGTCCAAAGCTCAAGCCTCACCCCTCCCAAGGTCAGGTCTGGTGAGCAACAGGTAGAACTACAGCCAATGCAGGGCAGATGCCGCGTCTGGTAGTAGCTGGTAGTGACTTCCAGAGTCCTGTTGGAAGACCCTGAGCCTGGAGACAACCAACTCAATGCACCCCTGCATGGTTTTTATCCAGGAAATACATGAGAAGTGGGGGAAGGGGTGCTAGGGTGCTAAGTTAGAGGGTACATGAGACATGACTAAATCAAGAGGTAAAAAAGAGGGCATTGGACCAGCACACATTGTTCTCCAGCTACCACATGGGTACAAAGAATTGAACCTCATTCCTGTGGAAGAGCAGACAGTGCTCTTATGCACTGAGCCATCTCTCCATCCCCTGTAGTGGTTGATTGTCAGCTTCACACACTGGGTAGAGAGAGCCTCAGCTGAAGGATGGCCTGCATCAGATTGGCCTGTGGGCTCATCTGTTGGGACTTTCTTTCTTTCTTTTTTATTTTGGGGGTTTGGTTTTTAGAGACAAGGTTTCTTCATGTATCTCTGGCTGTCCTGGAACTCACTTTGTGGACCAGACTAGCCTCAAATTTGGATATACACCTGCTTCTGCCTTCTGAGTGTTGACATTAAAGGCGTGGCCTACAACTTCCATCAGACTACTTTCCCAGTTTTTAAATGGGATTGTCTGGCTATGACCCAGGCTGTAGACCTGAGTTCAATTCCTGGAACTCACTTAATGTTAGAAGGAGAGAACTGACTCCTGAGTGCTGTCCTCTGACTTCCAGTGTGCACACAAGTGCTCTCTGTCTCTCTCTATCTGTTTCTCTCTGTGTCTGTCTGTCTCTTTCTCACCCCCTCCACACACATTACTCAATTAATCCATAAATGGATCTACCTGAAAGTCTCTGTTATGTCTTGGAACAGATATGCCACTTAGTTTATACAGTTAACATGGAGGATTGTTGGGTCCAGCTACTCCTGCTGGGACCACACGTCACTATCAGCATCCCTCAGACCCAATCCCCAGGAGCAATGTCTATATCTCCTTATGACCTCAAAACTTCCACAGGGGAGGGACTTGGCACTTTGCCAGTCACTGCACTGGAGCTGGTGTGGGGTGTTGAGCCAGCCCTTTATCTGTGCCTCTGCGACAGCACTGATTCAGGCTCTGCCACCATCTACAGCAGCTCTGCCGGTCAGGACTGTCTGTGAGGGTGGACATAGTCTACTTCTGTGCTACACACACAGTAGTCACAGGCCCGGCCTGCTGACTGGACCCTGTCAGAGCACAGCTACAGGACTGGAAAGAGGCAAGTCACTTGTGTCTTCCTCTCACTCAAGATGAAACTTCTTCTGCTGATTGCTCTGCTCACAAGTAGGACCCCTGTCCCCTCTGAGTGCCTCCATCTGCCTTCTCTTTAATGCACAGCCCTCTGCTGGTCGTACCTGAAGTTCTGGTTTGGGGTTGCAATGGTGTCTAATAGCCTGTGGGTTGGGTTCCCTCCTCACCACAATGTTGACAACAACTGGCACCTTCAGTCTCTAGGAATGAACTCAGATGACTCTTTAGAAAAGTCTACTACAGTCACCAATCTTCAAAAAAGAAAGCTCTTCTGCCTCTGCCATATTGCCCTGAACACCCATTTCCCTGGCCCTAAAATGCCCTGGCATTTTGATTTTTCTCATCCTTTAAAAAATATTTACTTTTAGAGACTGGGAAGATAGCTCAGAGGTTAAGAGCATTGCCAGCTCTTCCAAAGGTCTTGAGTGCAATTCCCAGCAACCACATGGTGGCTCACAACCATCTGTAATGGATTCTCGTGCCCTCTTCTGGCTTGCAGGCATACAACAGACAGAATATTGTATAATTAATAAATAAATAAATAAATTTTTTTAAAAATAATTACTTTTATTGTACATGTATGAGTGTTTTGCCTGCATGTGTGTCTGTGAGCTGTGTGTGAGCAGTGTTTGCAGAGGCCAGTGGAGGGTCTGACCCTCCAGAACTGGGTTATAGACAGTTCTGAGCTGCCATGTGGGTTCTGGAGCTAGGCCTGACTTCTACACAAGCCCAGCAAGTGCTCCTGACTGCAGAGCCATCTCTCCAGGCATCATCATCATCATCATCATCATCGTCGTCATCATTATTTTCATTGTTATTATTATTGCTGTTGTTGTTGATGATGATGATGTAATCTTATAAAGCAACCAAGGAAATCCTCCACTCAACATTATAGCCCAGACTTGCCTCAACATCCCAAGCGTTAAGATCACATATGTGCCTGGTTTGAACCTGCAATTCTAAATTCTCCCAGTTTACAAGACATTTTTTCTGGTTTTTTTTTTTCTTTCTTTTATTTTTTGCTTGAAAATTGTCACATTCATTTTTTTAATTTAATTTTTTTAAAAAAGTTTTACATGTTAGCCCCAGTTCCCTCTCCCTCCCCTTCTCCCATACCTACTTCCCTTTGCCCCCCCCCATCTACTCCTCAGAGGGAGTAAGACCTCCCTTGGGAGTCAACAAAGTCTGGTATACTAAGTTGAGGCAGGATCAAACCCTTCCCTCCTATATCAAGGTTGAGAATGGGCTCCAAAAAGCCAGTTCATGCACCCAGAATAAACCCTGGCCCCACTGCCAGCCCCTCCCCAGCAAATCAAGCCACATCACTGTCACCCACACTCAGCTGGCTTAGTTGGGTCCCATGCAAGATCCCCAGCTATCAATCCAGACAGGGTGAGCGCCCACTAGATAGGTCAACTACCTCTGTGGTTTTTCCAATCATGATCTTGACCCTTCCTTGCTCATATGACCCCTCCTCCCTCTCTTAAACTAAACTGCAGGAGCTCAGCCTAGTGCCTGACTGTGGATCTCTGCATCAGCTTCCATCAGTTACTGGATGTAGGTTCTATGATGACAATTATGGTAGTCACTAATCTGATCATAGGAGAAAGCCAGTTCAGGCACCTTCTCCACGAGTGCTAGGTCATCCTCATGTATTCCTGGGATTCCCCTAGAGCCTGCTTACTCCCTAACCACATAATGGCTCCCTCTATCAAGATATCTCTTTCATTGCTCCTCATCTCTGTTCCTCCCCCAACTCAACCATCTTGAGCCCTCGTGTTCCCATCCTCATCCCTTCCTTTCTACTCCCCTTTCCAGTTCACCCCAGGAGATCTTAACTATCTCCCTTTTATGGAGCCCTCCATGTGTGTCCCTCTTAGGGTCCTCCTGTTTACATAGCTTCTGTGGGGTTGTATATTGTAGCCTGGTTATTCTTTGCTTTAAGTCTAATATCCGCTTATGAATGAGTACATGTCATGTTTTTCTTTCTGGGTCTGGGTTATCTCACTCATGATGATTTTTTTTAGTTCCATCAATTTGTCTACAAATTTCAAGTGTCATTGGGTTTTGCTGCTGAATAATGCTCCATTGTGTAAATGTGCCACATTTTCTTTATCCATTTTTTGTTGAGGGACATCTAGGTTGTTTCCAGGTTCTGGCTATTATGAATAATGCTGCTATGGACATAGTTTAGCAAATGTCCTTGTGGTATGATTGTACATCCTCTGGGTATATTCCCAAGAGTAGTATTGATGGGTCTTGAGGTATACTAATTCCCAATTTTCTGAGAAACAATCATACTAATTTCCAAAGTGGCTGTGCACGTTTGCACTCCCACTAGCAGTGGAGGAGTGTTCCCCTTACTCCACATCCTCTCCAGCATAAGCTATCATCAGTGTTTGTGATATTAGCCATTCTGACAGGTGTAAGATGATATCTTAGAGTCATTTTATTTGAATTTTTCTGATGACTAAGTATATTAAGCAACTCCTTAAATGTCTTTTGGCCATTCGAGTTTCTTCTTTTGAGAATTCTCTGTTGAGATCTATATCCCATTTTTTTAAATTGGATTATTTGGTAGCTTGATGTCCAGTTTCTTGAATTTTTTATATATATTTTGGAGATCAAGCCACTGTCAGATGTGGGGTTGGTGCAGATTTCACCCCATTCTGCAGGCTACTGTTTTGCCTTATTGACAATGTCCTTTGCCTTACAGGAAATTCTCAGTTTCAGGAGGTCCAGTTTATTAATTGTTGCTCTCAGTGTCTGTGCTACTGGTGTTATATTTAGGAAGTGGTCTCCCAAATCAATGTGTTCAAGGCTACTTCCCATTTCTTCTATCAGCTCAAGTGTAACTGGATTTATGTTGAGGTGTTTGATGCACTTAGACTTGAGTTTTTTGCATGGGGATAGATATGGATCATTTGCATTCTTTTACATGTCGACATTCAGTGATAAAAACACTGTTTGTTGAAGATGCTTTCTTTTTTCCATATACAATTTTGGTTTCTTTGTCAAAAATCAGGTATTCATAGATGTGTGGGTTAATGTCAGGGTCTTCAATTTTCTTCCATTGATCCACATGTATGTTTTTATGTCAATGCCAAACTGTTTTTATTACTACAGCTCTATAGCTAGAGCTTGAAGTGAGGGATGCTGATGCCTCTGGAAGTTCCTGAATTGCACTGGATTGCTTTGGTTATCCTAGATTTTTTTTTTGTATTTCCACATGAAGTTGAGTATTGTACTTTGAGGTACTGTGAAGAATTGTGTTGGAATATTCATATGGTTTGCATTGAATCTGTAGATTGCTTTCGGTAAGATTGCCATTTTTACTATGTTGCTCCTACCTAACCAAGATCATGGGAGATCTTTCTATTTTCTGATCCCTTCCCCAGTTTCTTTCTTTCTTTTTTTTAATTGATTTTTATTGTTGCTCACCAGGCCTGACCTTGGAAGGACGGGGCCCAAGCTTTGGAACCTGAATGCAGATGGGGGTGCGGGTGGAAAGGTAGAGAACCAAATAACTGTTTACTAAAGGAAAAGACAGACTGAGAACCACATAGCTTCACAACAGCCAGTGAGAATTTTTATTCCTAAATCTGGTTGACCAGGGAACAAGAGATTAACCTTGCTTCACCTGGGGAGTCCCGTACTAGAGGAAGGCAAAGAAGAGAACATGTTCTGTTTTGTTTGTTGTAAAAATCTAGGCTGTTGTGTACTTTAGCACGACAGTTAGCCTGTGGTGTGTGTTTAGGCAGCAAAGCCACGAAGGTCACGGGGATGGAAGCCTGCCTTCAGGTCCGTTACCGTCAGTCCAGTATGGCTTTCTACATCCCACATCCTAGAATGAGCGCACAGCAGAAGTGCTCACGAAGGTCACGGGGATGGAAGCCTGCCTTCAGGTCCGTTACCGTCAGTCCAGTATGGCTTTCTACATCCCACATCCTAGAATGAGCGCACAGCAGAAGTGCTTAGAGTCCACTATTTTTAGGGCCAAGATGTGGTCTTTGGTGCCCATGTGACACTGTTTTTCTTCTCCCTTCTCTCTCCTCCTACCTTCCTGTCTTCTATTTCCTCACCTCCACAGCCCTGCTCTCCCTCCCCCCTTTTCCATTCTTTCCCTGCCTCGTGTCTCTCCTTCCCTTTCCCTTTCTTTCCCCTCCTCCCCTGTGTACCTCAGGCTGACTTCTCCTTCTTCTCTTCCTCCTCCTCCTCCTCATCCTCATCCTCTTTTTTTTTTTTTCATTTTTCCAGAGAGGGTTTCTTTGTGTAACAGTCCAGGCTGGCCTGGAACTCACTTTTTAGACCAGGTTGGCCTTGAACTAACAACACCTGCCTGTCTCTGCCTCTGCCTCTGTATATCATGTGCTGGATGGAAGGCATAGCCGGGGTCATCACCCACTCTTCAAGTTGTTCCCCTAAAGACAATGTCTTTCTCGTTAATCTTCACCTTTCTGGGCTAGATGGAATGATGTTCTCTAAGGATCTAGTTATATTTGGTAGCCAGAGAATGCAATTACCAAAGCTGAGTTTTTCCAAGAGGTGCTTTATTGGAGGGCAGAATGTGTGGTGAACACAGTCAGGCAGGCGGGGGTGGTGTAGTCAGTAACTGGGGTGAGAAGTCTAGCACTTAATTCCTTTGTTCTCCTTGTTGTATGGAGCCTTGGAGAAGCAGATGGCGGCCTCACGGTCACAGTTGCAGATGAAGTCCTCACAGGCATTGTTTTTGGCTGGAGAGGAAGAAGAAAGGGGGTTGAGTGGAGCCCATGACCCTGCTCCATACAGTTTATAACCTAAAGAAACTGTGTCGTTCTATCTGTGCAGACTCAGGGTTGAGAGACAACGCACACATGAGGACACTGTATTGCCCAAACTGCTGAGACTCACAATAAACAAGTTAGTTGTTGTGGGTCTGGGCAGAGAGCACAGTTGGTAAAGCAGTTGGCATACAGGCATGAGGGCCTCAACTAGGATGTCCAGAGCCCATGTAAAAGGCAACATGTGTTTGAGGCATCTGTAACTCTATTGGGAAGTGGGGAGCACTGATCCCCAAAACTTGTTGGTCAGTCAGGGTAGATAAAGGTGAGTGGCCTGTTTAAGGAGCGCCCCAGCCTCTAAAGACACGGTAGAGAGTGACTGAAGAAGATAGGGGATGCCAACTCATTCCTATGCAGGAAAATAAATAAACAGGTATATATTTAGTCATAAAACCTAGAAAACTACAAATATCAGCTACCCCTTCTAAAATCACACGGTTTAAGACAATCCTCCTGCCTTCACCTCCCTGGTGCTGGGATGCTACTAATTTGAAGGTTTTAAAGGTGGAGACCAGGGCTTCTGTGTGTGCTTAGGTAAACACTGCAGCAACTGAGCTACATCCCCAGGCCTCTGAACCGCACCTGTGAAATGGGAGTGATAAAGCTTGCCCTGCATCGGTGTTTAGTCAAGAGTTTGGCTTATGTCCAATGATGCAGATTTCCATAGTAAATACGGAATCAGTGTAACAGCTAATAGGAGAGACTCTAGGCAGGCAAGATGGCTCATGGAATAAAGGTACTCGCTGCCAAGTCTGAACACAAGTTCCGGCTCCAGGACTCACATGGCAGAAGGAGAGAACAGACTCCTGCTTGTTGTCCTCAGAACTCTCCACCTGTGCTGTGGCACAGGCATGGCCTCCCCCAGAAATACATAAAATCTTTACATGTTTTCAAAAGAGGCTTTTGAATGATGTACATCTTTGTTCTGGAACCAAATGCCATCACTTCTAAGCTGGGCGATCTTGGGCATGTGATCCAGCCTTCCTCGTCTTCCTCATCAGTGACATCATCTATACTTTAGTATCTACACGATAAGGCTGCCGTGAGGTCAGATGAGACCAAGGAAATGACCAGTACATGATGACTGTCCTTGTTACTTCCGTGCCCCTTCCAAATCGATCAAAGGCCAAGCAGAGTCCAGAGATGCCCCAAGGGTAAACCTACCACTGCAGGTGACCACGTTCCCGGAGCACGTGAATGAGTATGAGTTGGTGTAGGGGTTGTCGATGAGGACTTTGCAGTCCTTCAGCTTCTTCGCCTGTGTGTAGCAGTTATCATGAGTCTGACAGCACCTGGGGAGGGCGAGGAACAGTGAGGGAGGAGTATGAGCCCGCAGGAGGTCAGGTCTTTTCCAGATCTGTTCATCTTTCTCACATGTTACTACTGCTAAACATGCTAAACGTGATGTTCCAGAAGAAATTGTCCTAAGGCCCTAGAATCTGTGATCTCTAATAGTATATATGTATTTATTTATTTATTTATTGGTTTTTTGAAGCAGGGTTCAGGAACTCTCTCTGTAGACCAAGCTGGCGTTGAACTCACAGAGAGGTAATAAATGTGTGAAGAATCACTGCCCAGCTATACGAATTTGGGAGGTGGGGGGGCAGGCTGGAGAGATGGTTCAGAGGTTAAGAGCACTGACTGCCATCAGTAATGAGATCTGGTGCCCTCTTGTGGCCAGCAAGCATACCGACAGACAGAACACTGTATACATAATAAATAAATAAATATTTTTTTTAAAAAAAATATATTTTTGAAACCATTTTTTTTAATCGAAAGCTCCAAGTGTGGTGGTAGTGTCTGCCTTTAACCCCAGTACGTGGGAGGCAGAGACAAATGGATCAGTTCAAAACCGTCCAGGGATACGTAGTGAGACCCTGTCTCAAAAAAAGGTGTTTTTTTTTTTCAAAGCTGCAGGAATACATTGAAATTATATAGTCTGAAGTTTCAAAGACTTTTGCCAAGGCTGACACTGCTGGTGGCTGTGATGGTTGCCCATGCCCTAGTCTGGCACTAGATGGCAGCATTGCCTGGTATTTGCAGCCTGGTCTATAGCGAGTTTCAGGACTGCCAGGGCTACACAGAGAAACCCTGTCTGGAAACGTAAACAAACAATAAATAAGAAGTCGATGAAAAAAGAAACTATGTGCTGCCTAGTGGATACGCATGCCTGGTCATGCCGCATGAGATGCCCCACTGCGCACTTTCCCCATGCCGACAGGGACACTCCAGGCTCCCGCCCGACTCACTCACCTGTCCAGTTCATCCACCGGGGTGCCTGAGCCACCCAAGCCACAGTAGCAGCCATAGTTGTTGTATTCCAACAGGGGATTGCTCCCGGGGATGGTGCACTTGATCACATTGCGGAACTGCCACAAAGCCCGACGGGTGATGCTGTGTGCAGTAGCGCCTGCTGCAAGAATTCACAGAACACTCCAATCAATCGCACTTGGCTTTACTAGGGGTCTGATGCCGGCCTGCTAGCTTCCTCCTCGACTCCTACCAGCTGCTGCAATGCCGTGAACAGAGGTGGGTGTGTGTGTGTGTGTGTGTGTGTGTGTGTGTGTGTGTGTGTGTGCATATATGTGTGTGTGCATATATGTGTGTGTGCATGTGTATGTGCTTGCCTGTACACATGTTCAAAAACACACTTAGGGCCACTCGTAAATGTCATCCTACACATGAGGAGGTCAGAGGACAGCTTTAGAGAGTTGGTTTTCTCCCTTCACTATGTAGGTTTTAGAGACCAAACTCAAGTCACCAGGCCTAAGCAGAAAGGTGTCCACCTTTTTGAGACAGGAAGAAACTGACCTCTTAGCTCAGTATCCAACAATCCAACCATCTCTTGAGTTTGAGAACTTCCCCACTTTTACTCAAGCCCAGGTGAAACCCTAGCCTCAGCCAGCAGTGGGATTCATCACAGTTCTAGCTGAGACCTTGAGCCAGAGAAGCAGCCAACACCTGCTCATTGTCTCACACTGGAGAATCAGAAGGAATCTGTTGGTAGGACCACGCGCAGCTCATATAAAAGGCTAATGGTCAGATCATCACGTGTGACGTCAGCACATGACATAACAAACTGTTCATCAGCTGAGGAGCAGGTAAATGAGACGGGATTCAGTGTGCAGTGGGATACTTGGTCCCCATTAAAATGAAGGAGAAGCCAGGTACAGTGGAGCACACACCGTGTAATCCCAGCACTAAGGAGGCTGAGGCAAGAGGATCAGAATTTCAAGGTTATCTCCAGCTACCAAGCAAGTTCAAGGCTTTCCTGGGCAATATAAGACCACATTACAATCAAACAAGACAAGGAATGGGGATTTCGTTCAGTTTGCATTGTGCTTGCTAAGCATGCAGGAAGCTCTGACTCCATCCCCAGCACCACATATCCCTCTCTATAGTCGCTGGAGGACCAGAAAGTCAAGGTAATCCATGACAGAATGGCGCATCCGATGCCTCACAGGAAGAAATGGAGGGGTAGGAAGAAAAGAAGCCAGAGGCAGGGATGAAAGGACAGTGTGGTCCCATGCCTCCCACACTCAGGAAATCCTAAGAAGAAGTTGACCAGCAAGGAGGTCCGTGTTGAAGCTGGGTCAGTGTGGGTCAAATCTGTTTGTCTCCCTGTGCCCTTTCAAGACGACTGTGTTCATAAATGCGTGGAATGCTGTGGATTGCCCTCTGCCCCAGAGTCGCTCCTGAACCTCAGCCTGTAGCTTCTCCCTTCCGTAAGTCTGGGATTCCACTTCACGTCTTTCTTCCCGCCCCCCCCCACCCCCGCTTCCTTGCCCAGGTCACAGACGAACAAGTGTCCAGAAGTGCCAGCACACTCACCTCTTCTGAGACACTCTCTACAAGTTTTTGGAGAGAATTTTTATTATTTACTTAACCTTTTGCCTTTTTTTTTAAGGGTCTGCTTATTTAGTTCAGGCTGGTTTTGAATTCTCAATCCTCCTACCTCAGCCTCCTGAACGCTGGAATTATGGGTACGCACCAACCACCACACATAAAGAGTCATCCCACTTTTGAAAAGGCTAGAGGGAGTTTGGTTCCGATGTTTTCCCATTAAAGAAGCCCTTCCTGGCCATGCACCTGAGGAGTGGAGCTCCTCGGCTGTTACTTCTCTTCCTGTTCTTTTTGCTTCAGAGTACTTCCCTTTGTCTCCATACGTGTGTTCACATATGTACATGTACATGTCTGCACATACATGTACATGGAAGCCAGAGTTCAATATGAGCTCTTCTTAAACCAGTCTCGTATTTTTGAGGCAGGGTCCCTCAGTGAGCCAGCCCCTTGCTGTTTGGCTATGGTGGCTGTACCAGCAAGCCCCAGAGATCTTTCTGTCTTCATTTCCCAAGCGTTGGGGTTCTGGGGGGGTGGGTCCCTCTGCTGTGCCTGGCCTTTTCTGTGGGTGCTAGGCATCCTGTCGCACGGCCATGCCTCTTCGTAGTATTTCTTTTGTAGTTTTAAGATTATTTTATGTGTAAGCCCATGCGTGCCACTTGCATGCCTGGTGCCTATGATGACCAGAAGAAGGCGTCAGAGTCCCTGAAACTGGAGTTACAGAAGATTATGGGTTAAGGTGTGGGTACTGGGAACCAAACCCAGGTCCTCTGGAAGAGCATCCAGTTCTCTTAACCACTGAGCCATCTCTCCAGCTGTCACAGTATCTTTAACACCCTTTGCACCCCTCTGCTAATGTGCTGCCTTTCTCTCTGTAGGACATGAAGTTCTCAAGGACAGGTCTCATGGTTTTCACGCCCCTTAAAACCTGTCATTGTGCAACATACAGTATATGACATGGGGGGGCAGAATATATAAATGAATCAACAAGATAACAGTTGCAGACACGACTGGAGAGATGACTCATCTGTTAAGAGCATGGGCTGCTCTTCCAGAGGACCCAGGTTCAATTCCCAGCACCCACATGGCAGCTTCCAACTGTCTGTAACCCCAGTTCCAGGGGATCTGATATCTTCACACCAAAGCATGCAAAAAAGAAATTATTTGGGGCTGGAGAGATGGCTCAGTGGTTAAGAGCACTGGCTGCTCTTCCAGAGATCCTGAGTTCAATTCCCAGAAACCACAAGGTGGCTCAACCATCTGTAATGAGATCTGGTGCCCTGTTCTGGCATGCAGACATATGTGCAGGCAGAACACTGTATACATAATAAATAAATTTTTTTAAAAGAAGAAGAAGAAGAAGAAGAAGAGGAGGAGGAGGAGGAGGAGGAGGAGGAGGAGGAGGAAGAGGAGGAAGAGGAAGAGGAGGAAGAGGAAGAGGAAGAAGAATTGCAGACACACCAGGTAGTGGTGGCTCATGCCTTTAATCTTAGCACTCAGAGGCAGAGGCAGGTGGATCACTGAGTTCGAGGCTAGTCTGTTCTACAGAGTGAGTTCCAGGACAGTCAGGGCTACACAGAGAGACTCTATATGTAATCCTAACACTTGGGATATTGAGGAAAATCTGGCTATAATGCTGAATTGGAGGACATCTTCAGCCACGTTATAAGATTATATCAACAGTAACAATGATGGTGATGATGATGATGACGATGACCGGACCCTGCAGTCAAGAACACTTTGCGGGACCCTGGCTCAGTTAGAGTACCTACATCACAGCTCACAACTGTCTATGATCCCAGTTCTGGATCAGACCCTTCTTCTAGCCTCCGTAGACACTGCTCATACACAGTTCACAGACACACATGCAGGCAAAACACTCATACACATAAAGCAAAAGTCGATAGATTTTAAAAGGTTAAGAAAAATCTAACTTCCAGGCACCTTGGTGACTGGGAAATGGGTACCGTGGTGATACGGCAGAGGCAGGAGGATCGCTCTTTGCTTAAGTAAGAGAACGGAGTGGACTTTTCTGAGGAGTCCTCTGATTTCAGACCTAGAGGCTAAAGGTGCCAGCTGTGGTCAGCATGGGAGTGAGGAGGGAGGCCCAACCCACAGGCTATTAGACCCCAAAGGGGACCCCAAACCAGAGCTTCAGGAGTGGCCAGTGGAGGAGCTGTGCCCTGAAGAGAAGGCAGATGGAGGGGCGCTCGGAGGGGACAGGGGTCCTACCTGCGAGCAGAGTGATCAGCAGAAGGAGTTTCATCTTGAGTGAGGAGAGGATGCAAGTGACTTCTCTTTTATAATCGGGGCCCCACACTTCCACGATAAGGTTGTTTGCTTTGCTCTTAGCCACTCTGGGCTGGCCTTGAGTCTATCTGGGGAACAACCAGAGGGATTTGCCTGTAAGAAATCACTGAAAACAATGTCATGGATTTGTGGCTGGCATTTCCTCACCAAGGGGATGGGTTCTGGAGTCTTCAGACCTTGGAATTTTTATTTTCTTTCCTTTTTGCCAAGTCTCAGTCTCTCCTGGAATTCACTAGGTGTCTGAGGGAAACTTTGAACTCCTTTTTATATTCTTTTAATTTATAGACAGCGCTTCTAGCCCAGGCCGGCCTCAGACTTGCTTTCTAGTTGAGGATGACTTTGAATTTCTTTTGAAAAAAAGATGTATTTAATTTGCAATTATATACATGTTCGTGTGTCAGTGCATGTGTGAGTACAGATGCCACAAAGGCCAGAGAAGGGTGTCAGATTCCCGGAAGCTGAAGTTACAGGTTGTTATGAGCCACCAACATATGGGCTGGAATGGAACTTGGTGTTCTACAACAGCAGCACACACTCTTAACCCGAAGCCCAGCCTTGAACTTCTGGCACTCCTGACTTTATCTCCAAATTCTGGGGTAGTAGGCGAGCCCCAGACATGACCCCAACACCCCTGCCATGCCCAGTTTACATGGTGCTGAGGACTGAACCCAGGGCTTCATGTATGCTAGACAAACCCTCTATCTTCCGAGCCACATCTCAGCCCTAACTGAGAATCTTGCTCCTCACCTCCATCCCCTGGTCCTCGGCCTAGCTGCAAGGGGCTGGGGCCTCTATCCTGTTGGACCCCCGAGAGAAGGGGGACACGGTGGAGATGATTGTTGTCTTTGTGTCTTGTAATGCTTTGGTGTGGGGGAAATACGTCATTCCATGGATTCCACTGTTCTGTCATGCACTTTACAAATGAGGAAATAGGTTCGGAGAGCTGAAGTAACCTGTCTAAGGTCACACAGACAGTAAATGGCAGAGCAAGGTTGGCTCACGTTTTGATCTGCCAAATTCCAAGACATACCTAAATTTGTACATCTTAATTTTTTTCCATCACTCCTTACTCACTCCCCAAAGCAGGTTTGTGAGAAAAAATTGGGGATGTGGAGTTTTAAAGCCTTAGGTGTGTGTTACAGAATACCAAAGACTCTGGTAGAGTTGTATCAAGTGTGTATGTGGCATTTCATTTTAAAAATGTGCATCTGTGTGTTTATTACGTATGTATGTACATATCCCATGGTGCACATATAGTGGTCTAAGGGCGGCTTGAAGGATTGTTTCTATCTGTTTCCACCATGTGGGTTCCAGGGTTGAAACTGAAGGAGTCAAGCTTGGCCCAGAGTGTGTTTAGCCCCTGAACCTTCTGACCAGTCCTAACATGTAACATGATTTTAGTCACAGTTCACATAACATTAGCTGCCGTGACTGTGTAAGTGGTGTCTAGTGTTTTCACCGTGTTGTGCAACCATCACCTCTAAATAGTTCCAGAACACTTTATCATCCCAAGAAGAACCCGCTCTTTCCCAACCCCTGACAACTACTAATTCCCATGGGCTTCTCTCTTCTGCATCTTTCACACACATGTTGAATACTATTATTCAAATCCACGGCCTGGAGCCATGGCTCAGGGGTTGAAAGCACTGACTGCTCTTCCAGAGGACCCAGGTTCAGTTCCCAGCACCCACATGGCAGCTCACAACTGTCTGTAACTCCAGTTCCAGGGAATCCAGTGTTCTTTTCTGGACTCCAAGGAAACTAGGTATGCACATGGTGCGTAGACATACATACACACAAAGCACAGGTGTAAATAAAATTTTAAAAATTAAACATCCCAAACCCAGAGCAGAGAGTAGTGTTGCACACCCTTAAACCCAGCACTTGGGAGGCAGAACTCAGGCACATCCAAGCCAGCCTAGACTGCAGAACCAGTTCCAGGACAGTCAGAGCTACACAGAGAACCCCTGTCTCGAAAACAAAACAGAAACATATAAAATACAAAACTTTGAGCTCCAACCAATCTCATGCCACAGTTAGGAAATTCCAATCCACGTCCAGGCTGTTGTCAAAACTCAGGTGCACTGAAGGTGCAATACCAAATTACTTACTACTTCCAGGTTACGTGTATGAGTATTTTTAGAACATACATGAATTTTATTTATTTATTTATTTATTTTGGTTTATTGAGGCAGGGTCCCTCCGTGTAGTCCTTTCTGTCTGTTCTGAAACTCATTTTGTAGACCAGGCTAGCCTTGATCCACCTGCCTCTGCCTCCCAAGTGTTGGAATTAAAGGCGTGCGCCACCACTGCTCAGCCATGAATTTTATTTTTAGATTTGGGTCCCATACCTAAAATACATTCATATTCTCTCTCTCTCTCTCTCTCTCTCTCTCTCTCTCTCTCTCTCTCACACACACACACACACACACACACACACACGTAAACCTGAACCTAAAAAAAATTCTGATCGGGGCTGGAGAGATGGCTCAAAGGGTAAGAGCACTGGCTGCTCCTCCAGAGATCCCAAGTTCAATTCCCAGCAACCACATGGTGGCTCACAGCCTCCTTGCCAGCAGTACATTGTATGCTTAACAAATAAATAAATCTTTAAAAAAAAATCTGGTCTTGTGGGTCAGGAAAGCACAGTTAATCGATTATAAATATTGAACAATTTTCTTGGAGAGATACGAGCAAATATGTTTACTTTATATGACGTAGTAACAGCAGACCATAGGAGTGAGTCCACCTGAGGTTAACTTGGTGCACCAATGAGCTCACAGAGCTCACTTACAGGAACTTGGGTGACCTCCAAAACAGCTGAATCACCAAAAACTCCCACCTCAGCACTGATGGTCATCTCCAAAAGCTTCATAGATGGAGTCCCTTTCCCCTCCTGGGACCTCCAAAGACCACATGCAGCCAACAGGTTTACATGCATCTGGGAGCCAGATGGAGGAGCGAAAGGCTGGAATGACTGGTGAGGTCTAGTGACCCTCCTCACACCACCCAGGCCTGACCTTAGGGAGTTCTCGTGAGTATAGGTCACCACGGCTGCTCTACATCCACAATGGTGAGGGTTCTGTCATGCCTGAAGGACAGAATTCCCCAGTGATGTCACTTCTTACACGTTCCAGTGTCCCTTGTCCCAAATTTTTCAGACCTATTTTGGTCAGGTGTTGGGCCCCTGGAACTCGAGTTACAGATGATTCTAAGGTGCCAGGTGTCTGCCAGGAGCCAAATCCAGGTCCTCTACAGGAGTAGCAAGTGTCCTCAACCTCTGAACCATCTCTCCAGCCTTGTTGTTTTATATTTATTTGTTACCTCATCTGATTATTCCTATTGAGCAGAGATTTCTACATACCTCCCTCGCTTGGCAGTTCCTCTTGTTATCAACATCTCACATTAGTATGGTATACATTCTATAATTAGTGAAACATTAATATATTAACAAGCTGACATGCAAGTTCATTGATGTTTCCTTTTTAGAATTTATTTTGTTATCAATTTTTATGCATATGAGTGTTTTGTCTGCGTGTATGCCTGTGCACGGTGTGTGTGCCCAGAGAGCCCTTAAGAGGGCATTGGTGCCCTGAAACTGGAGTTACTGAGAGCTGTGAGCAGCCATGTGAGTGCTGGGAATTGAACCTGATCCTCTGGAAAAGCAGTCAGTTCTCCTCACTGAGTCATCTCTCTAGTCTCTCCCTCTCCAGGTCCACTTTTTATTTATTGTTTGTTTGTTTATTTGGAGACAGGGTCTCACAATGTAGTTCTGGATGCCTGGAACACACTGTGTAGACCAGGTTGGTCTCAAACTCACAGAGATTCACCTGCCTCTACCTCCCAAGTGCTGGGATTAAAAGCATGCACTACCATGCTCAGCTAACCTTGGACTCTTGACCTCCTGCCTCCACCTCTGAGATGCTGAGATTGTAGGCATGTGCCACCATGTCCAGTTTATGGGGTGCTAGGGATGGAACTCAGGACTTTGTACATGCTAGTCAATCACTTGAATGAGCTACTTCTCCAGACTCTGTTTTTGGTTTTTTTGAGACAGGGTCACTGTGTAGTCCGACTGGCTTCAAAGTCCCAATCCTTCTCCGTCCACCTCCAATTTGCTGGGATTGCAGGCATGTACTACCACACCTACCTGTGTGTATTTTGTGTCTGGCGTGTGCACATGCGTGTGTGATAGAAAGTGTATGCATGTGCATGCACATGTATGTTCGCGCATGTGGATACCAGAGTTTCTTCCTGTCATGTACCTTATTGTTTTGGGCCATGAGCTCATCAATTCAGCTAGACTGGCTGACTGGAAATCTTCGGGGATCTGTTTGTCTCTGTGTCCCATGTTCAGCTTTTTCTTAGATACATGGAAGCTTCATTTCAGTGTCTGCGCTTTAAACTACTAACCGCTAAGGCCGTAGCCTGGGGGGAATTCTGTTTCCCCAGATGATGGCTCTGTTGCTTTCACTAAAGGTAGTTCTAACTAAATCTCTACCATTCTAATAAAACTTGAGATTCAAAGGCTAGGGTGAAAAATCTGCGAGCTCGGAGAGTTAGAGTAGCAACTGACTTTTTCTTTGCTGGCATCCTGGAATCCACTCCCTTCCACAATGCCCCCAACTAAAAAAGCCACACTAAGCTCTTCCCTGCTACTTCCAGTCAACCAGTTGCTAACCCCACCTCTCTGAGCCTGGTTAATTTTATTTAATTAATGCAAGTGAAACACATTTTTGCATAGTTAACAATGGAACATTGTAACACAATGTAACACATCTACTCCTAGCTAAACAAATAATCCATAACACTGATTTTGGTGCGGTTTTTTTTGGGGGGGGTGAGATAAGGTCTTCTATGTAGCCAAGGCTGGCTTTAAATTCCTAACCCTCCTGCCACAGCCTACTAAGTAATTATAGATATGTGCCCCCTATGTAGACCAGGCCAGGCTGACCCCTGACTTGCAGCGTTCCTTCTTCCTCTGCCTCCTGAACGATGGGACTACAGATATGGACCACCATGCCTCCACAGCTAGTTCTGAATGTGTGCCCCATCCTGGACAATCCTGTGTCCTTGGTGTCCCCAAGGGGCAG